AAGCGTATTTGGAGATTGTGAAATGCCAGACATTTTATTTAACAAATAAGTTCCTAGTAGTTTATTCAGAAATTACTTGGACATCGTGAAAAAGACCGTTATTTTTATAGCTCTTTGATCACAACACCATAGAGCACTAAATCATATTAATCGGGTAACTACCATAATAAAAATAAAACTTCTTATCTCCCTAACCTAACCTTTGAGTAAATCCAAGATTATTAAAGATTATTTATTGATTTTCCATAGATAAAAATTGCTATACTGATAACGGAACTATACTTTACAATGGTGTAAAGAAACATCTAACGACTTGTGGTCAAACGAACTCATTTTATTTTTCTTTTTTTATTTATGTTAACAGGCCTGATATTTCTATAGTTAAAGTTTTTACTTTAGTTTTTACTATTTTTTTTAATTCTTTAAAACGGTTATAATCAAAGAAGTTTACATAAAAAATTTAATTTCCTTTCATTTAAAAACAGAATCTAATATTTTTTTTACGTTTGGAACGTACCGAGTGAAATTGATATTTTACAAGCGTCCTTCACATGCAGATACATTTGAGTACAGTTTTTATTGCACTATTAGTGTTTTGATTCGAAGAATGTTTTTAGTAAGAAGTCGTAATTTATCGAAGATAAAGCCAGACGTCGTCTTATAACGTAATACTCGAAAATAACTGAAGTACAGTAAATACAAGACAATGTAGAAATTAACGTCGATATATTTCTAAAGTGGAATTTGCAACATCCTTTGCTAAAAAGTCGGCGCGGCGCACATTGGGCAATATTTCGACTTTCATAGACATTTTCACTAATTTTTTTGAGTGTCTCTTTTTTGCTTGAATGTACTCTGTGGGACTAAATACATGCTAATTACTATCGCTATGCACCGCAATCGTGCCCCTACTTCCTCCTAGATGGAACAAACTCACCATTTTGTTAAAATACGCGAGAAGCTCATTTTATGACCTTTGACCTTGAACATCGTTAAATCACGCCAATGCATATGTTATGTAGATAAAAACATACAGTCGCCTCGCCTATTCGTATTTAAAAAAACTGAGATAGCATTATAGTTTGGCATGGATGTTACAGCAGTGAAACCTTACTGTAATTAATTATATATCAGCATGGAACAGATGCTATCCTTTAGCCTCATTATTAGCAAATTCCATTGTTTGGTTAATATCGTAATTACGTCGTGTAATTAATATAAGCATAATTAAATATCATAGTGGCAGAATAATATTTATTATAAAATTTTCACGTCACAATGACAACCATACTCTCCCGAAATGGCTTGACCGATTTTTATAAAAATTTTATATGCATATTCAGTAGGTCTGAGACTATGCTATCTGTTTTTTAATCCCGCGCAGACGGAGTCACGGGCGATAGTTAGTATTTAGAGAATACTTAATAAAAAAAATACTGAGTTATCCGAATCCAACACTGAATTCGTTGTCTTCGGCGAAAGAAATATTCAAATAGTTTGGTCTAAAGAGGTGCGTTTGCATGAGATTATAATAATCATAAAATTAATATATTGGGTTTTTTTACAAATGGATTATATTCCGAGAAATTGTTTATTTGACATAAAACTGGATTCAATATCAATATTGCTTTTGTATGATTCATAACGTACTTTTAATAGATATCTTAATATGATTGCTTTGTATGACTAATTTTATACAGATTACGATATTTTCATATCATCTACAACACAATACTATCTACTATAAATATTAAATAGATATTAATAAAGCTTTAGTATCTGTATGTAATATCAAGAAAAACAATAATATTTCGTACATATATTGTAGGCTACATTTAAATTCAGCATTCATTTAAATTAAATTGTCGTTGAACACCTCGGTGTTACCGCTGCTCGTTTGTCCCATTCTGTTATAAAAAAAAAAAAAAAAAGCGCTGACAAAGTCTCAAGCGACTGCTAGTCTATACAAACAGATTAATGTGGCAAGAATTTGCGATAAACTTAATAAATTAAGGCTAGTAATGTGAAAATGTAATCTTATTAATCCCTCAACTAACCTAACTAATGCTCAAAATAGTAAGGAGCAAAAAGCGTATAGGAAAGAGAGAAACCCCCTTTCCATTCTTCACCTACTCTGTCCATTTAAGGTATCCATTGCATATATTTAGACATGTCGACAACTTGTTGATGGTCACTTGCTCATTTGTCATCTTGTACTATAAAAAAATCTACCAATCAGTGAGTATTATTTCTTTGGCCATTATAGACTGATTTATTTGACGTTTTCATTGTCCGATACAAAAATGTAATTTGGGTTTTATTATTAAAATTTAATTGAGTTTCTCGTTAACGAAATTCTAATAACTTGATAAATGTATTATTTGGTTTAAGAATAATAAACAATAAACTACACAGTTCCGTGTTGTTACGATGAGATATAAAATTTAATATATAATGTACGTAAACCTGCGCCATGTGATGACGTTATAATGAAGAAAATATAGATGGAATCAGTAAAAATATTTTTTTTTAAACTTCGTTTGTCACTTCGTGATACGAAACACGTTAGTACTGACCGCATTTCTATAGAGAGGGGCACCGTCAAATTCCATTTAGCGAGTCTTGATAAGAAACACAATCTTTAGAAAGATTAAACAACCTCATTGAAGGAAAGTTTCCCGTCCGTATTGTCAACAGATATGAAGTTTGTACGAAGCGAGCGCTAGTTAGGACCGCTGCATTGATATTTGAGTTTCCGAACACAAATATCAGATTGCCTCACAAAGACCCGTATATCAAGTCCGATAACATCCAATTCTTACCAAATTGTATGAGATATTTATCCGTAAAGTTTGTGAATACCCATAGGAAATATTGAGAAAATATGAATTAAGTCTCAACTTTTTTAAGGCGAAGTAACTTTCACGTATTTGATAACTACTAAGTTATAAAGCCACACTATTTTGAGGTTTTTACGTATTTTAAATCAAGGATACATTAGAAAATTTGAAATCGTAAAAGTCTTAATCAACAAGTTCTATACGAAAACAAAAATAAATTTTAACATACGTCATCTATAACATGATTATTATGTTATTAAATATAACAAAACATTTTAAACTCTAAAAGTCATTTTAAATGTAATCCAGTCGTACTGTGTAAAACTCTGGAGAAGAACATGAATGAATTGACACCTTACTTTTAAAATGGTTCATCCTTTTATGCCACATATCATCATCAGCTCACTAAACGTCCCCTTCGAGGGGCTCGGAGCCTACCCTAAGTTAAGGATGATTAGGCCATAGTCAACCACGCTGGCCAAGTGCGGGTTGGTTGACTTCACACATATCTTTGAATTACTTTTCAGATATGTGCAGGTTGCATCACGATGTTTTCCTTCACCGTAAGAACATCTTATAAATGTACATATGTTAATCGGCAATCGAAACACACATTGGTAGATGGCGGGATTCGAACCCAGGACCTGCAGATTGCAAGTCAAGTGCTTGACTACTGAGCCACCGACGCTCCTGATATATCAATCGATGATATCAATAAATTAGGCAAAAATAAATACGTTCCACAACAATCATTAGGTAGCTATGATATTCTCGGTAGAGCTAAAACTATACGTGATAATAAATAAAGCGTTTCGATGAAAGTTAAGTGAATCGGGAATAATTTTCTTAATAAAACTTTATCTTTCAACGAGCTTTTGTGCAAACTCTGGGCTGGCATCAAAGTTTAATATTACTTATAGTACGGTCCCTCATTTAGTCGCCGGTTTGTTTAAGTTGCGACTTTACTGTCCAACTTAACTAAGACAAACAGCAAACTGTTACACTTGAAGTTCTGACTGCTTGAGCTATCGCTAAGGGTTCTGTTTTAATTATAGATGAAGGCGACAACGACAAACTGTTGCAAGAATTTGTATTAATTAGCTTTCTCACGTAAAGGCTAATATTATATTATTTACTGAGGACAGAAATGTTTTGTTTGTAGACGAATGAAATAATATCCTGAAATAAAATCCTATATATTTTTTATTCCTCTATGTTAGCAGATTGTTGGCATAGTTTAAATACTGTTTTAAATTTAATTTTTAGTCTCACAAAAAGTGGAAGTGATTTTGCCACGGTTTTGTGGTCACAAGATTTACTTTATCTTATATTTCAAGACTGGTTGGTAATACGTCAAAACTCTAGGGACGTTATAAAGATAAATATGGTGTGCTTACTTGTGGACTTCAATCAATTGTCAATTCAAATAGAGCCCGCTGCATAAATTGAAAACAGTAGCACGGCTGCCAAAATGTCGAATTAAAGGTTAAACATATTTATAAAATTATATACATATTGACATTAAAAATTCCAACTCTATTCGCGACTATATTTCATTGTTGACACTTCCTATTACCGCGTGATACTATCTGTTTCTTTTCATAATAAAAAATTCAAAGGTTCTTAGTGGCCAGTATGCCATGTCTTTGGCAGAATGTTAGCCTAATTAAATAACTAAATGATCAACGAGCGCAACTAGCATGTTTCTGGAAATGACAATGTATAAATGAAAACACCTTTTCCACTGACGCTGCTGCACCTGTCTAGGTATTGCTGTGTGTAGTCAAAGGCGCGGGGCGACCGCGCTCAGTGGAAAAGTGATCTAAAAGTAACAGTTACCTTGCAGGATCGAGGTTAATTAAATAACTAAATGATCAACGAGCGCAACTAGCATGTTTCTAGAAATGACAATGTATAAATGAAAACACCTTTTCCACTGACAGTGCTGCACCTGTCTAGGTATTGCTGTGTGTAGTCAAAGGCGCGGGGCGACCGCGCTCAGTGGAAAAGTGATCTAAAAGTAACAGTTACCTTGCAGGATCGAGGTCAGTGCATGACACGCAAACATTCTGTGTTCATTGAAGTTAGTTCATTTTTCTTTCTTGTCGTATTGTAGTGTTTGTTGAAACATCGTCTATTTAATCTTGTAATCAATTGAGATAAAATTATGTTGTTACGTGCATTACTCTTTACTTTTTTAATACATTTTTAATTATGTTCTTTAATAACAATGTTGTAGGTATTTTTGAAAAATTACTGTGATGTTTTCATTTATACGATGTAATTATAAACGTACGGAACGTCATAAAATGTCCACAAATAACGTATTATGTGGGCCAAAATAATACAGTGTTATTTTGTTTACAGTGTGTTGCGATAGGTTCCTGTTTCTATATCAAATAGTGAAATACAACGAATATCGATCCCAGAAGATAATGTTCGCAGTTACGATAACTACAGATAAATAACGCGGTGCGTCCGACTATTTAGCGATACACCGAGGGCCGCCAGTCGTGATTTTGTACTGAATCTTGTACCACAGATTGTAAACACTGAGAAAAATATAAATCAAAATGTGGTAAGTACGTTTTATTGGGTGTTTGACATTATTAATTATGAAATACAGATTATTATTACATTTGCTATATTTAATCATCTAAATATCAATAAATAAAAGCAAAAAATGGGAATTTATCAAAAAAATATTGTTCATTTTTGTTTTTTTTTCTAAATTTAGTAAATTGTAAACAAAAACTATAGTGACATTAATTTGATTATCGTTTTTATAATATTTTAAGAGTTGAACTGGTTTTAGTAAATATTTCTAATATATCAAAGAACGTATTTCAGTAAATTTAATGGTCTCTATTTTTATTATAAGCAAGAAGATTAAACTAACAAAATACTTACTTTGTCATTCAATTACAATACTTTAAGGCATTGAGAATATAAAGAAAAATCGCCATTTTATTATTTAGTATACAAACCAACACATCATATCTTGACTATTGTAGTATTCGTTCTAAAACCGAACCTAGAAAATTATTTGATAAGATAAGATTCTAACGTAAAATGGTTAATTCATTTCGTAAAATAATTTTTTAAATTTCCAAAGTACGTAAATCACAAACTGTTCGATTCATTTTCATTTGTAAAAATAAAAAAAAAACATTTTAAATTATAATACAATTTACGCCATCTGTTGCACAACACGGGTATAAATACAGATTAAAAATGTTTACAGAATATATAATAACTAAAACTATTCGATTTGATAATACATTTATTTATTCATAAAACATTCACAATCAAACGGGAACCAATGTACAATTTTATAAAAAAGGCAGGAATTTTTATTTCTATTGAATAAAAGGTCATTGCATCTTTGCAGTTGCTGCGTTTGTAACCTGCTTTGCAAGATCATTAGTGCAATCGTGTCTGTTCTGTTTGTCGTCGCAGTCGTACTACTAATATTGTGGGGAGTTGGCGTCTTATTTGCATAGCATTAAGATGGTAAGATAATTTATATTTGATCTTATGATTACGACAAAAGAAAATAAGGTCTCTTACACAATAATTAATATTCTTAAGCCACAGTTTTCACACTTGAAACACGTAAAAATATATTACTATCTTATTTTTTCAAGGAGTTTGAAAGTGTTGAAAATATATTTTTATATGTTTTGGTATAAGTTAAAAAAAGTAAAAATATAACTTATAGATGAAGTTTATAATACAAGTTTGATGTCTAATCGAGAGTCTATTTTTGAAATGTAATTTTTTATTGTAAATGGCAACACTGTAAGGAAATTTATCACAACAAAAGGCCCCCGGAGGACTTTTCCCGCCTCACTTTTCTACTCCGGATAGGATATAAATCTATGGTCAAAAAATTGTCTCAACGTTTTAGATCGTAACACAATCCGTAAAGTTCATTGACATTGCAACTCTGGCAAAGATGTTTCAATGACATTGTACAAACCAATTGAGACATATTCCTATAGATGTTTTTTTCTACTTTATAAGCTGTAATTAACTAGTATATTTTATGATGAGCCAGTATCATTTTTAACATATCTTTTTAAATATTATTTAATGTTATATTTAAAGATAATATAATCATTCTTGCCTAATCGTTCCAGAATATTTATTCATTTTTAACGGAAGGAAGTTTAATTTGTTTTTTTTTTATTTGCAGCCCAATAAGTCCTAGGACTTATTGATGAGGGAACGTCGAAAATGCTGTGTACAACAATGCTAAACAAAAAGATTGCAGTAAATCGAAATGTTTATTGCAAAACCAGCAAGTTTAGTTATTAATAAGTACATTTTAAGAAGTTGTATAAGTAGCATATTAAGTATTATATAAACAATCAAATACAGTATGATGAATATTTAATAAAAATTAAAAATGTATTTAAAATACGCGCAAATTAATAGGTCATATACTTTCGGTAAGCAATTTTGTTTTTCTTCATGATACCAAAGACGTATTTGAATTTGTTACTATGCGCATATTACATGTTATAAAAATAAATTAATTTACTGAATAAAACACCCTTTTTACTATCAGCAACCACTTAAGAGATAATTCTCAATAACAAACCATTCTTATATTTATTTTAATACTAGCTCTTGGCCGCAACTCCGCGCGGTATTAAAAAAACATTATTAGTAGCCTATGTGTTCTTACAGACTATATTCTATATTTATGCCAAATTTCATTGAGATCCGTTCAGTCGTTTTGAAGATACCTTCAAACAAACTTTCATCCATCCAAACATTCGTCTTTGTAATATTATAATATTAAATAGTAAGATTTTAATGCTATTCATATTTTCAGTCGTTTGAAAGTGTGTTTACTTTTGTGGGCTTGGATAGAATTGTGTCCGACAATATCCTGACTTCTAAAATCTGTATTCAAATCTTGTACGTTTCGAATGAAGTATGGAAATGATTTTCAGTACTTTCCTTTGCTTCGAATCTATAAATTTTTCATGGAATATGTGACGAAATCGCTTACTAGGAAATGTTACACCGGATGTTGTAATAATTACGTACTGATTAAATTGTAAAGTTATGGTTATCTTAAAAGATAAAGCAATTTACAGTCATAAAACTAATTCTTCGTATTATTTCAACAATAATTATTTATCTATTTATTTCTCAATGCCGTAAAAACAATTAATAGACGGTGAAGTTATAAGTCAAAAAGAAAGTCCGGTAATTACTCTTCTGAGACCTTAATGGATTTGGAGAATTTTAAAATTAAAAGATTTGCATAGACGGCATAATAAATAAATAAAAGATGTCTGAGGAAATAAAATAACTAGCATATTGGAAGAAAGTAATATTTTTTTAACTTCAACCAACATTAATTATTCCAGTAATAACACGTAGAGTTAACACTAACCGACAATTAAGTATCATTATTTGTGAAATAATGAATGGTTGAATTATCATTTATAGGTTAGATCCATGTTCTGATATAATCTTGTTATAAAGTATCAAATATAGTAGAGCGTAGTATAAAATTATTTTCAGTGATTTTATTGTAACCAACAGATATGTTTCATTTGAGTGATTTAAAATCTTCAAAAGTAAAACCTGCTTTTGATATAGAAAATAATATTTTCTCTTTAACTATAAACAAAAAGAATAATGTGAAAATTGAATACGACATTGTTAATGCAGGAAAACCGCTCATTTACTTTTTGAGGTTATTTGGAATGCAGACATTACGATGTCTTAAAGACAATGTGTTGCAAGCTAAATTAATAATGAAATTATATAGTTTGTTGATTATTTTAACAATTACTTTTCTAGCAATATTTGTACGACCAATAAGTTGGGTTGACACTAAAGATGACCCACCATTGTACATTTTAACAAAAGTTTACGTGATTTTACAAGTGATAGAAGTTGTTCATTCAATCTTCATTACATCGATTTGGAATAATGTGACTTATGTTGAGTTGTTTAAAAAGTTAAGCATTGTCGATGGTCATTATGGAATTAATAAAACGTTGATTTTTAAACGACGTTTTACGGCATTTTTTCTCATATTTCTTGTTGCCGTACAATGTATAGTAACTTCTGCGCTTCGAAGATTTCATGTTAACAATATATTAACACAATTCACTATAACCTGTTTGATGTTACAAGGAATATTTTCTACTTTCATACTATTAAATATGTATATACATCTTTTGATTCTTAATATAATCATAATCAAGAAAATTCCCAAGTTACAGTTCAGACATAAATTTATTTTTAAAGATCCTTTACTTAATAAAATATTGAAAGTAAGTATCTTTAGATTATTTTTGAAAAATTCTTTATTATTTATTATTAAACGTAGCCGTTTTATTCCAGAGATTATTTATTAAACATTCAGATGAATTCTTCAAAAGAAACTATTGCTGGTATGAAATAATGGAAATTTATGATAAAATTTCGGACTGCATTTCTTTATTCTCTAAAATATATTCCGATCAGGTACTTAATTACCTACTTTTGTATGTGTGTTGTACCTACAAGATTTTTTATGTCAAAAAGTGATAAACAACGAAACGGTCACTTGACTTCGCCAAAATAGCGAAGCGACCGCTGCTCATAGACATTGCATTTGTTGATGTATTGACTACCTAAATCATCATGATAATATCCTCGTTCTATGCGTCTCCACCTCTGCTCTATCCACCTCCAGTCCCATCATTTCTTTATAAGAAATATATAAGAGAAAGAAGATTAAAATTATGGCTACTGCAAGCGCACTAATAAGGAGAAGCTAGGAATTATTTCCACTTCATGATTTTCTTCTGTTTGGTCGTGGTATTGCACCGAGCCGGTCCACAAGATGTTATTGCCAATCCTGCTATGTACTGTTATGGCAAATATAGGCGGCTCAGAAATTATTTCTTGTACAATGCAAGACAACAACCATCGTCAGTTGCTTAGTTTGACAGCTAAAGGCGTCGTGAAATAGGAATGGCTAAAACATGACTTTTTTCTCTGTTCAGGTACTAATAATGTTTACCACTTGGCTATTATGTGCGATACTAGCGATTTGTAGATCTATATCTCCAACGATAAACGTAAGTTAATAAGCCGAGGGATCAGAACGTGATGATATATGGAACTATGACGCTCAGATTGTCTTTCCGTCAGTCCATCAAACAGATAGATTAAAATAAATCCGTGACCTTATGCCAGCGAATTAAAAAAGCTATAATATAAACGAACTGTCAGAACTTCCTTGTTAACTCAAATTCCGACGATAAATATAATTTTATATTTACTTTGACAAGGTTCCATCTTGTTCTGATTGCATTAAAATATTAATGATTGAATATTTATTAAGAAACAAAAGCAATAACAATTAAAACATTAGATATTTTCACAGTATAGGAATGTTTACAAAAGCGACATTGCAAGATTTCTTTCAATATCCGGACGACCAATCGTGTTGACAGAGTTCAGTGAATATTTCATTCGGGAAAGAAAGAAAACACAGATGCTCATTTTGTATATAATGACATACGAAAATCTTGGTATGTTTATAGACTTCATTTTTATATACTGCAATTGAACTTAGACTTTTGGCACATTTCGTTACAAGAGAGAGAAGAAAGATGATGTATTACGTTAGAGTGAAAGAGACAAATGATGATCTTGGTGTTATTTAGGTATAGAATCTCTACATAGAAACTGTTCCTTTAAATATTACTGAAAATATAGTGTTTTACAGATACTGATTACTTCGTACAAGTGCAAACAATGGCAGATTTGGTGAAAACAAGGAAATTAGAGGTGTCCGCAAATGTTTTTACGGTGGAAATACCAATAATGCTGAGCTTCGCTGGTACCGTTATATCCTACAGTGTGCTGATGATACAATACTTTTATATGCGCATCGTCACCTCGTAGATTGGACACCAAGTACAGTTTCGTTTTGACAGCTATCAACGCTGAAATATTACGAGATATTTAATCTTAGTCTTGAGCACAAATTATAAGTTTTTACGACACAAACCTTCTTTGATGTCCTTAGAACACCTTAACATAGTTTCGTCAAAACTGTACTGGGTTTAAAATACGATAATGGGACATACATGTTATATGGATATGTATATTTTTACGATTAAAGTTCAAGATATTAAATATGTATGTAAAGCACTTTATACGTAATTTTTATTAACACACCAAATTGTAGTATTTAATTATTAATATTTAGAACGATGCATAATTTTTAAAACATATAAAATGTTTCGATACAACGAAATTATTTGTTTTATTCAAACGAAATAACTAAAGCTGATTTGATATCGTTATGACGTACAATGTAAAACACAACGCAGACAGTTTACGGCCGCTGTCCGAGAAAATAAAACATTGCTACTGTTATTTCCCACGATACCTATAAAATGCCCAACAAAATATGAAACAGTTATACGATATGACGAAAATAAACACGTTGTTATAATATAAACTTTGCGGTTTCGGATTGGATAGCGAAACATTGTGATTTTTTATCAATATTTTATCAAAAACAACTGAATGGACACAGTTTACAGAACGAGATTAATAATATGGAATTATGTAATGTTTCCTCGCCCAGAATAAAAGACTTTAATTGGTCATTAAGGGAATACTTTAGATTTAGTATGCGAATTTCAGTCTAAAAGATCCTTTTGTGCTGTGTTATTGCTATCATACTACCTATTGATCTTAATAAGAAACGTGACGTTCATTATACCTCGTGTTTAGAGGGATTTCCTCGACAAAGATCTCCTTATTTATCAATACCTTAGCTTTTCAATATTTCTGACTATAATTTATTTGAAAGTGTGTTACTACTTGAAAATATAATAATTTAAGTTACTTTATTTGAAAATCCTTAAAACTTTACACTTGTTAAAGTTCTTTGCTGGCAACATGTTTTGTAATGTCAATGGCAATAATACCTGCGATTGCGTCAGCTCAGCTGTCAACCAAAGACAACAATATATGTCAAGTGTCAACTGTCAATGAGATGTGAGTCATTGTTGCGGTGTTCTGTTTTGCTTAAATAACAACTATTTTGTTCACTGTTCTTGTTTATTTATAAAAGCGTTATACCGGTACATCTATAAAGTTAACTAATTGATTTAAGAAACTTCATTTTTGTCAACAACTGTTTAAATTTCTTATTTAATCATCATGTCTCGGTGTAAGTACGCCATTAGTTACTTTCTAACTTTCTATAAATAATAAAGCGTAATATGTCCTATAATTTTCTTTACATTTTCTATAACGGCGAATAAAAGTGCAGAATACTTAATACTTTGGGTTTTCGATGATCAAAGTAATCCCGATGCAAAACTTTCCATGTAGTGAATTGCGTACTTAACTCAAGTTGACTCACTCTGTTTGTACTTTATTATCTGTGCGACAATTTAGTGGTACTTATTCATAAATCGCTTTAGTCGTTAAAAACACATATTATTACATTTATTAAACTGAAATGATAAAATTGTTAACAAATTATTTCAAAAATACTTGCACCTTCCTTTAACCTGTTCACATACAAATTATTGAAATTGTATTGTATTACAATATACAATACAATTTCAATAAATAGAAACTGTCAGTAGAACGGAAAACATCAAACTAAATGATGCAAATGCTGCTGATGTTTTGCAACTGCAAAATGCATCTCATTATAATGATAGATTCTCATGTTTAAAAAAAAAGTGTAGCTTTTCTAATAAAGCTCTATATTTACTGTAAGAGATCAATAAATACTCCTTTTGTTTCCACAGTTAATTATGGCAACAATCCTCAATACCCACCACCACAAAATCCCATTTATCCACAATTATATAATCCAACCAATGCTCCTGCTCCAGTTCCGGGACATCCAGGAAATCCATACTATGGATATCCAGCACCCGGTCAACCTTATCCAAATGAGCCTGGGTTTGCATATCCATATCAGCCTGCGCCAATCCAACCCACTAGTGTGCCAGCAGCAATGTCATACCCTAACGTAATGCCAACTGCACCACACTATCCGGGACAACCAACTGTGACACCAACACAGCCTTATGTTGGTGGAGGATGTAAGTATGTTTTGTTATATTGGATAAGTAACTGTTAGTAAATCAGGCTTATTTTAATTATATAAAAGATGTTCAGTGTAGATTTTTTTTAATATGTCTACACTTTGAGCCACTTTACACTTTTTATTGCATAATTGAATAAAAATCATCATTAAATTTTGCTTTAAAACAATATAATAATATAAAAATCTTCTAAAACAAAATTGTATGTATTTAATGGTCTTCAATTATCTTGACATTTATTTCTTCTTTTAGCCCCAGTAGAATGGATCCCAACCACACCAAGAGATGCTGCCTCGTTGAGCAATAAGGCAATTATTGCAGGATATGAGGGTTATGACCGCAGCCCTCTCTGGGTGATTAGAGCAAGATATGAAGGAGATTTGATCCCGGGCAAACTGGCCATAAAACACCATGCTGCATATGTTCCTTGGGGTGGAAATGAAAATGCTGTTCAGAATATTGAGGTATGACATTTTTCTTCTCATATTATCGGGGAATATTATAACTTCAACTGCTACATTTATTCTGCTTCCCTTAACTATAGATGAACTACAAATTATGCCAAAATTCGTAAATTTCCTTTAGTAATTTCCTTTCAAACCAAATTCCTTCTCTTTATCTCACAATTTTCATCTAACTATTAAAAAAGTAAAATAAAGTAATGGAAGCCATTGGATTTGACATTTCTGTGTTAATTTATTTTGGATGTTCGATTGAAACAAGGCTTATAGCACATACTTGTATTTTTATTTCAGGTATGCTGTGCCCCGCCAGAGAGGGTTCGCTGGGTTGAGAGTCGTGACGGCGTTATTCCGCCAAACGCTGTCGTTGGCGGAAACACTTCATCTGGTGAACCATTGTACGTTGGAAGAGCCAAAGAGCAGGGTTCATTGACTCCTGGCAAGGTTTGTTAAATTTACCTAGACTAAACTTTAAAAAAAACGAATCCTATCACCAATTTCTGTCGTTTATACTTCTGCACAGCGACTTGCATGCAGTTAAAAGTCATCAAGATATCTGAAAACTACAGTACCCTTATTAAAGAATATTATTTTTACTGTTATTTTATTTAGTTTTTTTGTAAATGATGGAAAAACAATTGTGTCTTTACAGGTACATCCAAGCCACAAGGGAATGTACATATCATTTGCGGGCAAGGAGATCGCTCACAAAACATATGAAATACTCTGTCATGCTTAAATATTACAATGCATTTCAAATAAGATGTTATTACATCAAAGCTTTAAATTCGAAAAAACTGGATCTATGAAACTGATACCTTAAAAAAAACATTTGAAATCTGAATCTCGTTTACACATGTATTTTTTTAATCTGTACAGTCAGCGTCATATAGATCGTCACAGACAAGATATGCAAATATATAGGTACATCAAAAGTAATCAATTATATCGGTACAACAAAAGTCCTCAAAATAATAGATACATTCACCCTGCTCAAATACATCGGTACATACACAGCGTCAAATATATGCGTACATGCAAGATGCTCATAAATATCGTAGCAGCCACAGCGTCATAAGTAACGAAGCAGTCAAGGTGCGCAAAAATATCGGTACATTTGACAAAATTGAACTCTATCTCTATATACTTGTGATACAATTTGGAATAAACTACTTCTGTTACATTCATTTGACACTTTGTATTAACATTATAGGTTGTCCGGAAAGTTCGTTCTGATTTTCGATATAAAGCTTACAATAGACTGTAGCTGAAGTGGATTCATTTTCGGATTTCCACCATTATCAAACGTCACAAAAATTTCTATATTGTGAATAATTTCATTTCATTGGTTGAGATAAAAACTAATTTTTAAAATTTTAGCCAAAAATAAAAGACGTTTTAGGTATAGAGTCGTACCAATATAATTTAAAAACATTTCCAAAAATTTAAGGGAACAGGGTTTCAATTTTCCTTATAAAGCGGCACGAACTTACTGGGCAACCTAATATTTTTCTTCTCCTGTCATAACGCTTAAATATATTATAAAAGTTTGTCACGCCGAATATGACAGATACGTAATAACTAATATCAAATTTTGCCTTGTCACAATATATACTAGTTTGGCGCAGTATTCTAGTATGTTTGCCGTAATATGTAAGTTTACCGGTTCGAATCTCAGGCTACTTTTTTTTCATTTTATCAATCACGGGGTTATTTTTTCATAACCAGTAAAAATTTGGTAATGTAAAATTTTGCTCAACAATTTTTTTTTTATAATTTTCGCTGTCGGGTAGAAAGAAATTTAAATAAAGTTAACAACAATTAGGTCAGACCATCGCGGGTGAAGTGAGTGGGCGGAGCGTGGATTGTCTTTGCGGGTTTTAAGAATGGTACGCGCGGAAACTATACGTACAAGTGTTATCTACATATGTGTGCGCGCCCACGCACACTGGAATTTTTATTGCAATCGACCAAAAATTTGATGTAGTTTGGATATTGACATTCAGTTTTTTTTCTTTGTTTCTTAAATATAATCAGTATCAGTAAAAGGTAAAAGTAAAAGTGTTATTTTTACCGGTACAAGTTTAACAAACATGAGTAATAAACAAATTACATGTCAATAGCATCACTTTATCTCCTTCATTTTTGTTTGAAATAGAAAAGTACTTTAACGGTCAAACTCATTAGTCCAAGGCAATATCAAAAAGTACCTAATAACTACGGCGATAGAGTTTAATTACATGTGCTTCGATATTAAAATTAAAAAGTTTAAATATAAAAAAAAAAAGTTGCTTGGGATTTGAACCGCCGAACTTACGTACCAACGGCGGCGAACGGTAAGGCCACGAGACCAAACTAGCATATATGATGACAAACTTAAATTTGATGTTGGTTTTATCTACCTAATATCTGTCATCCGCGTCGAACACTTTTAGTAAATTTTGAAAAATGTTTTGATGCAAAGTGTCAAATGAATGTAATAAAAGTAGTTTATTCCAAATTGTATCACAAGTATATAGAGATAGAGTTCAATTTTGTCAAATGTACCGATATTTTTGCGCACCTTGACTGCTTCGTTACTTATGACGCTGTGGCTGCTACGATATTTATGAGCATCTTGCATGTACTCATATATTTGACGCTGTGAATGTACCGATGTTTTTGAGCAGGGTGAATGTATCTATTATTTTGAGGACTTTTGTTGTACCGATATAATTGATTACTTTTGATGTACCTATATATTTGCATATCTTGTCTGTGACGATGTATATGACGCTGACTGTACTTTAGTTTTTGACAGATCGAGGTCATTGACCCTTGAGACTGTGTCTTATTTGAAACGCATCTTATTTTCAAAGTATTAAGAAAGACTGTGTTTATGTATTTGCTACAATGGCTTTCTTTTATATTCCAATATAATCTCAAACTATATTATTGTTGGTGTTTTTAGAGTTTAAGAATATAACTGTATATGCCAATAGAGGTGTAACATTTTATATGGCATTATGTATATTATTCTGCATTTGGGTATTAAAAATAAATAAAAAAACGTGTTTTTTTTTCAACCTTTACTCAATATAAGTATATACTGTCGTGTTCAGGAGGAATGGGATATTAAATATACACATGTCACTGTCTGACAATGACATTCATTGTCCATGGAATTCATTTGGAGTAATTAGGGATTCATTGTAACAAATTCCTCCTGATTTCCAGTATACTTAACGTCATTTCAAACAAAATTACAAAGGTTTATGGATTGTTAGTTTAAAGTGAATTAAAAAAATCATTCTCATATTTATTTTTTACAAATTACCTTATAACTAAAATATATTTTATAAGCAACAGTTGACAATAGGTAATTCCGATAGTAGGCCGATCGGCCCAATGGGATAAAATGCCGTTGGGAGGGCTGTTCGGTACGCTGATTGGTCCAACGGGAAACACCCGCGTGGTATGCTTTAAATAATAAAATATTTAGCGCGAAACAATTAAGTACGTCATGTTGTGAATGGAAAAAATATTATCCTTTTAATACCCACTTACTCGATACAAAATTATATCATTTTTCTTACTAGCGGTTTACTATTAAATGACCTGTGCATATAAATATAGTTCTTAAAATAAATATTATCTTCATATATAAAGTACTAAATCTAAGATGTAGGTAACAAATATCACAGGATAAGAATATTCAAAATCTTAATAAGTAACGCTAATTAATCAATATATGTAATTCCTCTAAAATAAAAATAATTTTTTTTTATATTATAACTAACCATCGATCAAAGGTAGGCAACGTAATCGATGGAGGAGGGGACGCACAGAAGGTGAATATCTTCCCTTACTTTGCGTTCGTTCTCAATGAAATCAACATCCTTTCCTTAAAAGAAAAGGGTGGGAAGGGAAAGAGGACTAAAATCAGGCCTACGTCACGAACTCCCATTAAACGAAAAGCGAAATTGCATCCACTTGACGTCTGTCTTCTGTATAGACCATTCGTGCTAGGGTTGTTGATGCCATCTACCACTGCCTTATAAAAATAGCCATAATTATTAACTGTGTGTTATTTTTATAAAAAAAGGGATAAATTATTTTAGTGATATTCTCGTTTAAAGATTATTGGTACGGTTGCACAGCATACTTTGGGTTAAGCCCATTTCTATTTGTGATTGAGTCACGTTATCATTATTAGAAATATCAATTGTTTCAATTTTTGCTTTGTTTTTATTCTTGAAATCCTCTTCAGTATCGAATGCTTTATTTTCTACTCCATTTTTCTCTGCTTTCGTTTCAGCTTTCATTTCACTCTCTTTATCATTCGTATTCGTATTTGCTTCATGTTTCTTATTCGCCAGATACAACCACCTGTGAAATATATATTTATTTTTATGAGTGTTACACTAACTTATGTTGCGTATACTATATTATGCTTAAATATCGACCATTAAGCCATAGCCATAGCCAGACCATAGCCTTGCAATCAATGTTTTAGTAACCACTAAATATTTTGCTATGAATATTTAAGAAGGCGAATCAAAATGTTAGGTTAGTTACAGCTGTAACTGTCCAAGCGGTCCAGGACCTGCCGAGGCTAATGATCGACAAGGTTTTATTGTCGTAGAATGAAGATAGCGGTTTACAAGTTGAAAAAGAAATAAACCCGCCGTGGATAAATCGACGACAGTAGAGTTTTAACGGTATGATAATAAAACGAAATGATTAAGAATTTCTTTCTAGTATTGGAAAATATAGATACATACAAAAATATAACAACAGCCGGTACTGTAAGTCCTCCTCCAAGTAAAAAGAAAGCTCCAGGGAATGTCTTTATAGTAGCAGTGTATACAGTTGTGTACATCGGAGCATACACTAACGGCATCATTGCTTCTGCCACTCCGAAAAACGAATTCACTTTACCTGTAAAATGTACATTAATCATTGTAAATATTTTCAATTCTATTTCTACTTAAAATATGCTTCACCATCAGATTTTTTAAAACTAGCATTAAACGGAGAGATTCAATTACTTTAATGGACATGTTATCGCTTTTAGCAGGTAGTAATCTAGTTGTTTTATTGGACACTGCCATTTAAATTTAACGATTCTAATTTTTGCAGTGGCACCCATATGGTAATTATTTTCTTCTCTTTAAACACTGGTAAATATTAATATGATGTTGTGCTTACCCAATTCATCTTTATCTACTAATTTTGATACCATAGACCTCATTGCAATGAATGATGTTCCGTTAAATATTTCGATCAGAGGAGCTGTGAAGAAAGAATAAAAATTGTTAATAACTAGAGCACGAAAATCGAGAATAATATATAAAGCCTTATGTAACTTACCTATATATATGTGCCAAGTCTTCGTCGCAAAAGCGTACATAAAGCCTGATAAAATTTTACTCGTGCATGAAATTACACCAATAATGGCGTCGTCAAACTTTAGTATGTGACTGAAAACTCCAACGGAGAACAGTGTTCCTGAAAAAAGATATTTATTAAGTACTCGTAAGATTACATTTGTTTTAAACTTATGAGAAAGCGAAAATTATAAGGAACATGCCTATTTCACTAAGCGTAGAGCGACACGACTACTATTCCTATGGCAAATACGACTACGTCAGTGGAAATGGTTACATTTTTCTAAGAAATACAAAAGAGGTGACAATAATGATGAAATCACTGGTGGTTTTTACCTTAAAATTAAAAAAAAAACATATATTACCGACTAGAGAAGTGCACATGGCGTAGGTTGAAAACATACTGAAATCTACTTCGTTCCAATTAAAACGGTACCTAGTGAACAGATACATAACCGACATCTCGCCTGAAAGTACAACGAAAAAAAAAACTAAACAATATCTTATTATGAAATCTGTGTAAAAATATATCAGTACAAATTTATCAGTAAAAATATACAATATTACATCAAAGAAAAAGTTATTTACCATGGATTTCTGAGACCAAAATCCCCGTTTAAAACATTTTGCTATCTCCGGTTTAGGTTAATAAGGTTAACAAAAATGAATGTTGAAATATCAGTTGATTCTTTTGGATGGCAGTGTACTCCATAATTTCACTTACAATATATGATTTCGTTGCTATTGTACTCATATTAGAAAAAATCATTAATGCTCACCATAAATAGGTCCAATGACGACACACAACACCACTACCAACATAATGACTCTCAACCTGCGATTGTTGGGGCCTCGTTTGAAAGCCACCATTATCGTATCCTTCACGTAACGTATATCAAAGAAATCCTTCAACCATTCGCAGCAGTTATTTGTCGGCTTCTGAAATATTATAATAGTAATATTGATTCTTTGAAAAAACAATTGAAGAGTGTTCTTGAAAACTACAGATTTGTACAGTTGATTTTTACGTATTTACTTAACCTATATTTACAATTATTACATGTATCTTTGCTCAGGTTGGGACGATGGTTACATTATTAATAACAACCGAAGCAAATATTTGTTGAGTTTAAAAATAAAAATGTATTCATTTCATACCAACTTTAATGATGATCCATAGTAGCATGGAATACAGATTAAGTATGCTTCATAACTATAATATAAAAGCCATAAACAGGCAGTAAAAATTATTGTATTTAAAACAGATATATGTAATCATTAAATGTGATAAATTCTCTTAAAAGGTTAAGTTTTAATACAATTAATCATGACGTATTATCATTAATATTCTCTAAAGGGCTTTTATCTGTTTTAAACATTGTTATACAACAGCACTGTTGAAGCAAAGTGCTCTTCTTGTTGACATTAACAATGTTATTTCACAACTCGTTGACATATTTAAGCAACTTCTACGAAGGACTTTTATTTTATTGAATAAATGTAATTCTCTTTGTACTGTTCCATTCATTTTTATTATACTTTTATTTCCAAAAGTGAAGGTTTTTTAACAACAAAACAATGCACAAACAAGTTATTGACTCGTTGAAATTAAAATTAATAAAGCGCAAGCTGAAATTATTTTTTCCTTAATTTGATATTTTTTAAGAGTTAAGGAATTGAAAAACACTTTTTAAGATGTGATCCAAGACATTAGTCAGGAGGAAAAAATCATTTGAGAACTTCGTGATAAATTCAAGGACTCTTTGAGAATAATAAAATGTACAAGAGAATCACCTACTTACTACAATACTTATTAAATTTAGGTTCTATAATTGTGCATATATCGTATTGTGTCTGACGTTTGATGCCGAATAATTTTTTTATTTATTTATACGATCAACGAGTTATAATATTCTTTTGTGCGTCAATAAGATATATGTATATCATATAAGAAGAAAACATTTAGAATACACTAGAATCGGGGACCTCTCCATCATCCGAGTGTGACTCGGATCTGGGTCAAGTTGACGGATCTTTTTGTATCGTTACACTCCGCTGACTAGACTTAGACATTGAACTTGAAATTATTACATAATTATATAGATCAAACAATATTCAAGGTCGCATCGAGTGTACAGCGTGAGAAAAAAATCTTTGGCCTTTTTCATTCATAATTATTAAATAAAAAATCTATTTTTAAATATAATCCGTATAAAAAGTTGAACCGTGCCTTTCCGGACATTAAGTTTGTTTATTTACCTATCCGTGACAATTTATTATTAAAGGTGCATAATTTATTTGCTAGTTAAAGTAGAATAAAAAAGAAGACCAGATCGCAAAATTACGAACTTCAAAAATCTCTTTTTTTTCCACACGAAGCCAAGCATTAACGTCGCATCAAATAAACTCCCTTAAGCTACTATTCCCTGCTTATACTTTGTTTGTTAACAATAAATATCAATTGACATGCATCATTGAAAAGCTTTGATGCGCTGCGTAACCGTCCCTAATCATCTGCCAAACGCCCTTGTCATAACGCACCGTGGGAAGCTGCCTTGGTCGGTTGAACTGTTTTTGTGGTCTGTACTCTACCGTAATTGACTTCCGGAATACTACTAGATAAGTCCGGTACGCCTATTACTACTTCTGGTTTATGCTAGTCTTGGATTCGATAAGATTTTGCGGCAAGTCTTTAAACCAAGACATTGACTTATAGTTTTTTTTTTCAGTAAGCAACAAAAAGTCAGTTAAGCCGGTCGGTTAGTCAGGCAACTCATCTACAATTGCGGATGTCTACGTCAGTACTTCAATAAATATCCAGTCTACGTTAAAACCAAGTATGTAACAAGTAGTAACATCAGAAAACGGCAAACCAGTGAATAGCTAACAAATGTCTGTATGTTAATTTCTTTGAAATTTTGTGAAAATCACCTCCTTCTTCTTATTCTTTATGGAGATGAATAATCTTACTAATATTATAAATGCAAATAATTGGATGTCTGTAAGGGTGTCCGTTACTAGGTATCTCCAGAACGGGGCAATGAAGAAGATGATTCGGCATAGATGAAGGACATCTGCAATAATCTTTTAAGACTGCTAATATACATATAATAGGTTTTTTTTAATTTTCGCGAACGGATTCACAGTCAAAAGCTAGTTAATTCATAAATCCACTAAACAATGCAAAGTGTTACAAGTATAATGAAGGTGTTGAAGTTTAAACACCAGTGTGCGCCATAAAAACAATAGACAATTGCAATCGTACAGCTAACGCTGGCAATATTTACAGCAGTCTCACCACTGTTTGCCTAACCACAGTACAATACACAATACATTACCCTAACAAATGATCGTTACATCATCTATTACAGTTTTATTAATCTAATGAAAGTATTTTAACGTAACTGAATGATTTGTATTCAATTAAATCATCATCATCATCATCGTCAACCTATTCTTTTCTCTACCGGGGGTTGGCACAGTATGTACTACTTCTACATAAATCTCTATCTGGCATCAATTCTGAATCCACCCCCTTCTTACGCATATCCTCTTTCGTACAATCCATACTTTCTTTGGTCTTCTTTTACCTTTGTAGCCATCGACATTCAATGTCATTACGTTTTTTGTTTATATGGTCATCCGTAATCTAATCAATCCAATCAATCCGCATAACCTTTTGCTCCTCAATTTCTCATTCACTGGCGCTACAGTACTTAATTAAATATTGACTTTAATTTTATTTGATCAAAAAGCATGTAGTGTACAGCTGTGTGTCTAACAAGCTAATGTCTTGTTCATATATACAATTTTTTATTCTCTGATTAGTACAAAAGAAGAAACATAAAATGTACTTACAACATTCAAGTCAGTCCTCTTGACTTCTTTTATTCTAAAGAAACCATAAAAGAAACTCAAAATATAGAGCGTTGCGCTTAGCGAAAACACGCCGTATAATCCAATCTTCCGAACTAAAATTCCACTGAGCGCTGCTCCCACGGGCACGCCCAATGAATAAAATAGATTTACGATTCCAATTCTCAAAGTCCTTTGTTCCTCCGTAGTAACATCAGCTATGTAACTGAAGATTCCCATAAACATTGTAAACCAACCACCAGTCAATGCTGGAAATATAGCCTCAGTCACCGCAGCCACTTCTACAGGCAATTCATAAAAGAAAAACGTATTAACTATAAGTCCAATGCTTGTTAAAAATTCCCCAATAATTGGTATAAGCATACAGAACTTTCGTTGTCCAACTCTATCACTATAAGCTCCGAGAAATATTAGTATGCCACAAGGTAAAAAAGACTGCAGCACAGTTTTCCATCCTGCAACCGACGCGACAAGAGTTTGTACTGCTTCTTCTTCCATCGTATAATTCGCTGTCTCTCTCTTTGTCAGTGCATCACATATATGAGGTTCGAAAGCTAAATTAACACGACAAGCCTTTTCTAAATATAAATTTTGTGTAGCTAATGCTGATAAAACCGATGGCATGACATAACATGCTAAAATTGGCTCAACTGTTATCAATGAAAACATATGCCTCGCCTTTTGAAAGAAATTTAAATCATCCCAATTATCATCAGCTTCTTTTTCTTTTTTCGTATCTAAATTTGATTTTTCCTTTTTACTTTTTCTAATGCTATTTCTTATATAATCGTTTGTGTTGTTTATAGTCATCTTGTCGACAGTTTTAATATTTGCTTGCTCTATCTTTTTTTCATCGATCGCCATTACTACGTATCTGAAACAAGAAAACATGCAATTGAGCGGTTATTTTATGTCTTTTATTCCTTTTTCAAAGCCCTTTGTGACATGATGTCATGGCTTGGTGTATAGATTTGTTCCTTTATGTCGCGGTCATTGGAAAGCAAGAGCCATAATTACCTAATTTTCTTACCTGTTTCCCTACCTACTGGAAAACTCTCATGAATTTTAGAGCTTTGCTCTTCAGTCTACAAAGTTTTTATTTCTTCGTATTAGTCATCTCCCTGTCGTTATCCCACTCACGTGGGGTCGTCGTACAATGTTTTATTAACCTTAATATTTTGGCTTAATTTTTAAGGCCGACCCGCCTGCTTGTCACCAACCCTACTTGGGAGTCAAAATAAATTATGAAAAAAAAGTTATTTAAAACTAAAAAAAACACTCTCGGAATTTTTAGAAAGTAAGAGAGATTTATTTCCGAATTCCCTAAATACGATTTTTATTTAATATTCCCAGATATTTTTGTTAATTTACTAATATTTATACATGGTTTACGACAATAGTCGAATGGCGGAATTCGAACTCCGAACTCACTAGGAAACTGTTTAGAATGCTTGAGGTCTAGAGGCTTTTGGTCTTTAGTATACAAAGATCTTATTACTTCTGATTAGTAATTACATTAATGTCGCTAATACCGGACGTAATGGTCATTAAATGATTACTGTGTCTCGTGACCGTCGACGGACGGTATCCACTTTACGTAGCTACGGTAGTTTTATCATGTCCTATTGTACGACTTCCAGCCAGTCGTGGAATAAAGAAGTATTTTAGCAACGTTTAAATTGTCTTGTTTTTTATCACGTTTCAGCGTCGAACTTCTAAAGCAAGATAAGACACGGACGTTTGTATAAATCGAGAGGCATCTCACAATGGAAATTGATTTCCTGGGATTCATTTATACTAAGTTTATTTAAAACTGATCAAGACTTAATATTCCTAAGCATGCCAAATTCACTAGTAATAAAATTTTACTAATATTATAATATCAATGCGACTGCTTAGATAGATGTATTGATGTTAGAAGACATCTCCATAACGGCTGCATGGATTTCGCTGATATTTGGCATAGATGTAGAACATAGTCTGGAAGAATACATACTAATTAAAGAGTGGCAAAAGGGAAAAGTTTAAGAAAAAAATGCATAAGGCAACAAGGTAAAGTCACTCTATCTTTAATTTTATTGAATTTAGAACTACCATCATAAGGATACTATGTCTTATTTCATTAATTTTGGTCTTATTTCGGAAGTACATACGTAAATCTTGATGCATTTTTAAGTACGAACAGATGGAGGAAACATTTCCAAATGTAGTAGAGTAAGTACAATTCATATCCAAACATATCTAATGATTATCCTCTTAAAATCTGAATGGATAGAACTTAATGACATGATGAGTTGTGACTTTTTTTGATGACAATCTCAACAATGCAAAGGTTAACAAAAAACGAACAACGTCATAACGTAGGCCTTGTGAATCGCCAGATCGCCGCGTTCATGATCAAGGTTGAATTAGGGACACGTTTTGTATATATTCAGCAATATTTCATAGTTACAACAAGCAAATAGATTTGTTTTGTTTTATCATAATTTATTTCGTGTATTTGATTTAAGTTGCTGACTGGCGATAAACGTTTTTTTCTTCTTCTTACATTTAGCTAAGTCACTAACAATGTACAGATAAAATTAAATGGAAAAAAGGTTGCCAGTGAGTGGAGCGTTGATTTATATTTTTTGTCAATAAACTATAGAGTGTTTGGTTTTAATTAGAGTCTATATTCAAACTGTTACACATATTTTAATAGTGTAATTATTATTTATTATTACAAAGTATAATTTAATTTCAATTTTTATTAAAAAACGCTTTCAATGAATATCCTAACATTGAATCTCTATATATGTATAATGTTTGGTATGAACGTTTTCTTAAATTTAACGGAGAAATTGGCACTTATTTATTCTTAACAAGTCCTTAAAAAACTGGAAAGAGATTAAAAAAGATAATTTAAATACACTTTGTATACAAGATCAAAAAAATTTACAATGCGAACTTAGGTCTAAAAAATGCCTAAAAAACGATCAACGAACCTTCAATCACGGATCCTTCTATCTACTAAATGACTGGCAAAAAATGCTTTCATTATTATGCTAATAAAATATTTAATATTTAACATAAAGTTTCAATTTGTTTATTATTTCTTAAATTTCATTTAATAAGAAGGTACCGATTCAGAAGAAATGTAGTACTCGTATGATAGGTTATCATGTCGTTGGTACAGTTGAAAATTACATTAAAATCGTTTATCGACTTGGCTCTTCCAAGAACATATGAGGATCCGTCTTTTATAAAATATATTGATTGATAGCTAAATGCTTCAATTGCCAAATAAATTATAGCCAACAAGATGTTTATATACAGTCAAACCAAAGCAAGAAATCTCTATAAGCCAAAGCCAAAGTCATTGTCCGGTTCCGACGGACGGCTTCCATAAGCGAGAAACATCTATAAGCGAGAAACCTCTATAAGCGAGAAACCTCTATAAGCGAGAAACCTATGTAATCGAGATGAATATCGAGGTTCCTTGGACTCTTGCTTATCCAGGATTGACATATTCATTTAATAAAATTTGATCACATATTTTTAACATATAGTATTTGTTTTTTCAGTAAGAATATTGATGCAAAAAAAGATTTGCATAACAGACTTTTAATCCAAACAATTGATATCCAAGAAGGAAGTTGACGGTACGAAATTTCAACAAAAAATATTTAAACACAACCTTGAAGGTGTAATATAATTTGCGAATACAGACTTACTTAGCTGACATTTTAACTTAACATATGTTATACTGTCGGTCTGCCAGGCAATCTATTAAAAAGAACAACAGCTTTTTTACAAAACTTGAGATCAAGAACCTGGAAGTTAAAGACAAAACATTTTAATATCATGTTTTGTTTTAATTTATATCTCTGTCTTAAATAAATATTTTTTTATCCATCTGTACTGGAACCACTATATTAAAATTAGAATGGATATGAGACACGGCTAAGGTACAAAACCTTTCAAAAATAATTAATACTACTTAAGTATCGTTAACGAAAGATAAATCTTGTTTTATATCTTAGTATCAGACGATTGCTAACATTTACAATGATCATGTTTTGCAGTTAATAAAAATTCAAGGAGAGGACTATACTTGAACTTTGGCATTCATATTCCGAAAGGATTTTGCAGGACTTCCATATACTTAAATATAAAAATTGCTATTTAATTTTACTTGCCAGTTACAATAAACAAGTTTTACATTTGAAAGCTATGTGTAAAACAATTCATTTTATTTCTTAAAATTATTAGAAGCTTCTCTACTTTTTATGGATATTAATTAAAGTTTCAATATCGTGTAAATTCAGTGAGGTGAACGTAAAAACGGTTGAATCCGTTCTCTCGTTTGTCTAGAGCGGGCAAGATAAATGTTGGCCTCGTCGCGGATATTTGATTGCGGTAAAATTGCACAGCCGCAAAATGGCAAACCATTACGGGACGTTAATTAAGGCTCTGTTTATTTTTACTATACGGATACTATCAATTTTGACGAAAATTACCTGAACATTATACAGATAAAAAAATAACTCTAAACTTGAGTTATCAATTGTTTCTGAAACCAAAATCCCTGTATCATCATTTCTCTCGACGTCGTCGACATATCGTCATCTCTCTCATTGTCTTTGACAAAACAGGGATAACTGTTTTATACAGTGGCTCTGGTCTCATAAATCATGGTTTAGAGACCAGTTCACGGTTCAAATTTACGTGAGATACAAAAAGAAACAAGCATATTCGCTACCGAAACTCGAGCATAAAAACTATTTATTATCTTAGTATTGCAAGTACAATGAGAGGGATGGCGTTATATTTTTATACATATGTTTCGGCAGTGAAAACCCTAAGGGAACACGGATCCATTGCACTATATACCAAAAAAAAAACGGGTAAGAAAATGGGAAAAAGAAAACTGAAAGAGAGTCTTGTTTTGTACCAAAAAGGGCCCGTAAAATGTTGCATATTCAATTAAGATTAATTCTTTTAACTTTCTGTTTCTGTTTAATTTACTGCTACTGAGAGAGTCATTAGAGGATTGCTTAAATACCGTAGTGTTTTCTTATAATCTTTCGTATTAAAAAAAAAGTATAGAAAAACTGATGTTTGTTTTGCCTTAAATTAGTACTCATCGGACTTCATCTTACTAAACAAAGAATCAGTGTTTTGATAACAATTGTGACATTGTTTGAACAAGACATCCTACAGTTCACCGTGACATATCACTTAGTATAATGTCCATACTTGCACGTATTCGTGCATCGTTTTTGCTACTTCATATCGACATGTTATAAATGCAGATAAAAGTTACAAAGATGATGTCCGTTACAGAACATAAAAGAACACATTTACAGAGTTTCTTGTTACTATAGTTTTATCTTAAATAAGACCATTCAATGATACCATATACGGCTGATAGAAAAGTAAGGAGTAGTACATACTGTGACGACCCTCCGTAAGGATAAGGTTGAAGATGATAACACTACCACCATAGTATATGTTTAAAAAGGGAAAAATCTTACTTATAATATATTAATAATGCGAATGCTTCGATACCTGGATAGATGTTTGTTGGAAGGTATCTCCACAACGGCTACATGGATCTCGCTGCAATTTGGCATAGATGTGAAACATAATGATGTGTGATGTGATGGTAAAAAAATAGTAGCCTATGTAGGCTACTATTTTTTTTTTATTTCCCTTGGACGGAATCGCGAGCGATAGGTAATATATAATATTCTACAGTATAAATGCTTAACCAATTTGTTTTTTTTATTATGTTTTATTTGAATTTAATCATTTGACATTTTCAAAATTGTCTAAGAAACGCGTCACTATACAGATGTTAGTCTCCCAGATAGTGATCAACTCAATTTGGTA